ATGATGTATCTTCTTCCTAGAAAAGTTGAATCTGATCAAAATACTTTGAATTTGCTTATTACAATGACTGCTAACGCTTGTCTGTGGTGGCGTATTGCATGTAACAGAATTGCTTGCAGACAAGGCAGGGTGGGAGTGTGTATAAACAATGTGAAAAACACAACTGAAACTAGGCTAGGATATTAAAGAGATTCAAAAGCTACTTGATTCTGTCTCTGATACAGACAGAAGCAGATCTAAAATGCTTGACCCTGGGTCGCTTCAGCTGTCAGGCCTTAGGCTGTGCAGGAGATGCGTGCTGGCTTTTTTTAGCATCCATAATGGCATGTGAAGCAATCTTTTCAGAATAACAGAGGCATAGAAAATAGATGGTTAATAGTGCTGCAGTCCATTTTTCTGTGAGAAACAAGAGCCTTCCTTACAATACGCACTCCTTCATTTACTGCTCTGTCGAGCCTTGTTCAGGTTGACCAGCATTTCGGCTGTCATTAAGAAACTGCTCTGCTGTGCTGGATCCAGCGTACAGTGGAGAACGCAGTCATTACCAAAATGGGTACATTTCTTTGTCTCTTGGGCTGTCTGTAACTTTGTGCCCCAGGGCAGCTGGCAGAGGAGAAGTGTCTCTGACAGCTTATTTTGCTTGTTGAGCTGCTACAAGCTGTGCCGGTGAAGGTAACTTGTTGAAGGTGTAAACTGTGTCCTGCCCTAGGAGGGGGTGGCTTGCATAGCTCTGCCAGCAAACCTCTTCCAGTATCAACCTGGCTTTATGGTTTTCCACATCCTGTCATTGAAATATCATTGTGCCCAACCTTCAATATATGACAGTCCCTGAAGTGCGTGTGCACTATCTAGAGTGATTTGCAGTGCAGCGTGTCTGAGCAGACAGTATGTTTACAAACCGTATCATTTTGCTATCTAAAAGCTCTCCTGGTGTGTTAAGTACTCTTAATTTTTTTGACTGCTCTGAGTTATTTCATCTTATCCTAACAAGAATGCATCTTCAACCACAGCAATACGTCATTCAAAATTAATTGTTTGACCTCATCTTTTTTTTTTTTTTGAGGGCAAATTTGATGGCATGATTGTAATTCATCAGTTAAGTATGCTCTTGTTTTCAAGAGTATGAAGACCCTTATAACCTATCTGTGCTTGATGTGAAGTTGAGCTTTGATCACGTTTGATTGGAAGGACTGGTTGGTAACTCCTCTGATGCAGAACATCTTCAGGAGAGGAGAATTACAAGGGTAAGAGCAGGTACTGGGGTCTGCAGGCAGTGATTCAGTTCTCATGCTTGTCGGTTTTGGTCTTGCTCGTTAGAACATTGCAAATTAATAGCATTAACCTATGTGACTTATGTTTTTAAAAGCTACGAGGTGAAAAAATCACACTTCACAAACTGTTTTCTAGCTTCTTCTAGATGACTCGACTGAATGGTATCCCATGGGAATTAGGGATTTTGACTGAGAGCAGCAGTTGAAGCTGGAGTGGAAGCTGCAGCATGCTTAAAAGGAAATTTCTTAAAGGAAAAAAATAATCTGAAGTTACAGGGGGGTAATGGTATCTTGCATGATGCAGTCTCTTAAGCATATTTCTTAAACTCCCTTGAGCTTGAATTTGCAGTTTTATGCCAATTCATGTCAGTGGTACGGTGCTCTGTAGGTACGTAAGCCTCCATTATCTGCTTTTCATTACCAGTTATAGCTTCACTTTTCTGTTGTGTTTGCTTGCTGGCACAAACGGTGGTCTTCCAGCATACAGTTAATTACCTGCAGTGCAAGGAGGGTCACTGGTGCTCTAACTGCTGGTTTTCTGGAGTATTAAACTGAGTTGCCCTAGATGGATCTCAGTTTTGCAGGCATCTAAACAAAGCAGCCGATGGCAAGGAGAGCAGTGGTCTGAAGAGTGGGTGTTAGCTGTGCAGGGGTTTGACTTTGATCTGTTAGTGTCTGCTGCTTAAGCGTAGAGTTGAGTTGACTTGAGAAACTGGCATTTCAGGTGAATGGTGGTTTGAAGTATCATCGGGGAAAAAAGTCTCCTAATCTTCTGTGAGAAAGCTGAGCTTTTGTCTGGCCCTGCTGGGTCAGGCGTACCAGTGGCATGGGGAGGGTTGTAGAGTTGCTGTACTACTGCTGTGTGCATCCTTTGGATTTCTCAGTGTGTTCCCTGGAGCAATTTGATGTTCTTCAGCTTCCTGACAGCTATATTAGATGTGTGGGTAAGACCTACTTAAATAGTATGTTCATGGATGCTTGAATAAATTTGGCACTTGTACATGCCTGGGCTCACTAATGCTCTTTTTTGGCATATTTAACTCTGTAGATGGCTTCGGGTCCTCTGGTTCAATTTAACGGCAACAGTTCCAAATCTTTGGGATAATTATACAGTGTGGTTCGTGCTGAAGAATTCAGCTGAAAAATAGCTAGTATACAGCTTCACTCTCTTGACTGCCTCAAAATACTTTGCTGAGAGTTTGCTTCTAATCTGCATTATCTACAAGTCACTGAATGCCTGTCTCATGTCTTTCTGATCTGTTTTCCTCTCTTACTTAGCTTATTTGTTCCTCTTCTCTTGGGTCACCATTCTTTGTAAATGCAGATTTTTGCTTCCCTTGATAGTTAGGGCTTGAGGTCAGACTTCTCTGTTCTGTGAAAATGCAGGCGTGCTGAGGATAGGAAAGGATGGGTGTTTTCCCTTTAGCCCTCTTCAGAAGCGAGTTCAAATACTGGTGATGGTGGCTGACTTAGGTAACAGTCTAGTACAGCTAATAGCAATGTTTTTTAGCAGACAACTGTAGGTATACAGGTTGTGGAAGGTAAATTGTGGCGTAGGGACCCCCTTGAAGTGTTCTTTGCTCAGAAGCCTGGCAAAATGTCGTACCCTTACCAACTGACTGGCTTTTAAGCATGTTGCCTTAGGATATTAAATGTGATTTCAAAGTGCGTGCTGTTTATTGAGGATAATGGAAGTGCTTGCTACCTTATAAGCAAATTCTGAGTTAAATATGAAGTGTGAAGAATTGAGGCAAAGTCAAAGGACCCTCTGGGTGGCCTGGGAGCAGGAGACCTGAGACCCAGGGAGAGAGCTGGGTTCGCATCGCTTAAGGGTCATGCGCTTGTTGGGGTGGGAAGGGCCTCTGGGGATTGTCATGTTCAGACCAGGCTTCTCAAGACTGTGTCCACTTTGGTTTTGAATATTTTCAAGGGTGGAGACTTTAAAATCTCTCTGAGCAACCCATTACAGTGCTAGATCACTCTCGCAGTAAAAAAAAAAAAAAAAAAGCCACCTCTTATGCTTCAGCGGAATTTCCTGTATTTCACTGTGCATCTGCTGCTGCTTGTCCTTTCACTGGATACCCCTGGGTAGATGCTGGTTCGGTTTTTACACCCTTCCCGTTTTCCAGCCCACCAGGTATTTTTGGAAATAGATGTTTTTGTGGATAAAGGCTTCAGGTTTTTGACACTGGAAGATATATTTGCTGTAAGGTTGTGTGGCACTGGGAGAAGAGGAATACCTGAGATTCTGAAGAGTGAAGTGGGCCTGTAGGAGTGGATAATAAGTGATTCAATGTTTACCTTCCTAATTCTTTGATTCTGGCTTCAAAGCCAATGGCATGCAGGTAGTGGTTCCTTGTGGTGTTTTACCTGAGTACGTCCAGTAATGTGCTGAACTTCCTCTGTCAAAAACATAGCTTCTGCTGTGACCTGCAAACACTTTCCCTCTGGGTTTGTTTCCAATTTGCAGTAGTATTTGCTCTGAGTTTCTTGATAAGCCATAGGAGAGGTATTTCCCCTCCTCTTTTGTTCTGAGATTTGCTTCTTTTCCTGTTAATGACCCTGTTTACAAGGATCAGCTGAGCAATTTTGCAATATGTAAATGTCTGCCCTAAAATTTGGGTGTGAGTTGGACTGTTCAGTTTGGGGCTGTAAACAGCTTGCTCCAGAGTGACCTTTTCTGTGAAAGGAGAGCTGGAAACCCGCGGCAGCTCTGCCTGTGGTTCCTGACTGCATGGGGAGCAGTTAGTAGTAGAGTCATGTGAAATGTCTATTGTTTACCTCTGATAACAGCTTCCTCATTTCAGCCTTTCCAAAATGAGATGATGCTTATTTATTTGTTTTCCTGTTCCAGAGAAGGGTCTTTTCTTAATGAGCAGTGCAATTACATACAGCGGTACCTGTTTCTTTGATTTGTTTTGACAGTTTAAATCTGCTGAGGCAAGTCCTAGCTGACTAATTCATGTATAATTTTAAATCAATGCAAGTCTCTTGGTACCAGTAAATGCGTGTTGGGGTCTTAACCAGGACTGCTTCAGAAGGTGTCGGTGTGGGGCCATTGGAATTCTGCTGTGGTTTTGGCTTGTGTTGCCTCTGTCTTATGGCCAGAGCTCTCTGTACATGTTGGTGCTAATGGAGTTGCCTCTTGGACCTTTCGTGGTGAGGGGTTATTCCAGCTGCCTTGGCAGAGCACAACAATCAAATTGCCTCAAGGAAAACTTTCCCTTAATTCTAATTTTCACTCTGCAGTTTTCCTTGCCTTAAACCTTGCTTGTTCTGCTTTCGTCGATATGAAGAGCATGAAAGGAGAGCAATCTACATCACATCATTCTTTGTGGAAAATCCTTCCTATCCACATTGCAGTAGGCTTGGCAGACACATTTGAATTCAAGTTAAGGTTTTTAAAGATTTCAGAGCTATAGATCCATATGGTATGATGTTCAACTAATTAACATAAATATTTATGTGGTAACTTACCAGCTAAGATTCATTCTAAGTGGTATGATGAAAAACACTTCCCAATTAAGTTTCAGCAGCTGAAGTAGATGTCTTTCTTCCGGACAGATCTATATTTTATTTGAATAGAACTGACTTAATTAGTCTAACCTTTTGTGACTTATCTTACTCCTTTTTTACAGAGGAAATAATGGTAGTGATTATACAAAAAGCTTTTTGCTGTCCTGTGCTTAATCAGTTAATCACAACAGTGAATTTTTCTTTTTTCTACAGAAAAAGATGGTAAAGCCTTTCATCCAACATATGAAGAAAAACTCAAACTTGTGGCACTGCACAAGCAGGTTCTGCTGGGACCTTACAACCCTGACACTTGCCCTGAAGTTGGATTCTTTGATGTACTGGGGAATGATAGAAGGTAAAAGGGCTGGTACTCTTGTTGGTAACTCTGCTTTTCCTGTCTGAAGGAACATCATCCAATTTCTGCAATAAGAAGAAAAGTATGTGGGTTGCGTCAATGTGTGTGTATGGCAGTGGAAAGCAAGAGTGGCCTCTACAAACACATCTTGGAAATCTTGTCACAGTTCAGTAATGGAGCTAACAGAAGATTATTGGGTTTTTTGAACCACGTTAGGAAAAGCTGCTGTGCCTAGAGTCTGCTTTCTCATAGCAGTTTAAGACTTGGTTAGCTCTGCATCAGTGTGCAGGCCCATGTTTTATCCTAACTTCACACTAGCGTTATAAGAGGCTTTTTGCTAATGGTAACAGTGTTCACTGTAGCTTTTGCTAATACCAAGGATAACTTCTGAAATCAGATACTTGATGTGTTCAACCTCTGAGGTAAATTTTGATGAGATCTAGGCAGTCTCAGGCGTGTCTCTTGCATTGCTCGCAGTTCAGGCATCATTTCTCTTGTTCATTGTTGCACGTTGCCTTCACAACTAGAAATAGCAACACAGAGCTGTCTTCTCAGGGCTGGACCCAGTGCCCTGCTTTTGTCCCAATGGATGTACATTTCCTTTAGGGAGAACCAGGCTGTTGCCTTCAACTAACTGAACACCATAATCGATGGTTGTTACTATGTTCATCCAGGAAAGCGTATGCATTTTTTCCACAAACTAGACTGGAAGAAGAGTTCGTTTGGTTCAGGTTCACTTGTAGCTGGGAAGCGTTTGGGTATAGTTCAGAATTTAAAGTAGGGTTGATGGTATGTGTGACATTATATAAAAAGCACACTTGTCTGTTTAAAAGGGTTACTCTCGTGCAGGCAGAAGAGAGCACCTACAGGTCTAAGGTCTGTCTTTGTGGAAAAAGTTGTTGGTTCTCTGAAGTTGCATATGATAAAGTCTGGCCCCTGGTCTCCCAATTTTTTTTTTTTTTTTTGGTCGGGTTCTGAGAGTTCAGTACTGACTTGAAAAGAGTTGAGACTTCTGTTATTTCAGCTGATTTCTCTCTCTCAGGAAGGAATGGGCTGCCCTTGGAAACATGTCAAAGCAAAAAGCTATGACAGAATTTGTTAAGCTCCTGAATAGGTGTTGCCACTTGTTTTCAACATATGTCACTTCCCACAAGATAGAGAAAGAAGAACAAGAAAAGAAAAGGTAATGTTGAGTCCTTTGGAGTATATTGAGTGTGTAACTCTTGACCTATGGACAGTATCGCATGTAGCTTAAGTTGAAGTTGTTTTGGGAAGAGAAATGCTTGAAGATGAGGTGGCTGTGGTGCCATTTGATCTCTTTAAGCCTTTTTACTTTGCCACTAGTGAATGATTGTTTCTGAGGTGAAGACACCTAGAATATAAGGAGGTTTTTATATTTTATTGATACTGTCATCTGTTCAAGAAATACCCACTTCACAAAATGTCTATAGACTAAATGTATACAGAACGTGAAATTGTCAGGTACTTTAAACTCGTAATATGGGTTAACAACTTGACAAAGGCTATCTTCTACTGTCATTTACATATCATGTGATATTCAACTGGAGTATCCATGTAATTATCGAACGTATGGCAAAGCTTGGAAGATGTTTAAGGTTTCCAGACCATTTTTTCTACTGCTCTTTGCTAAATACAGTATAGTAATAGTTTAGAATTAATATCAAATTATAATGCAGGATTTACACTTGTCATACTGCACAGTGCAGTAAAACTAAACAATATGTTTTCTGTTTGTGTCCAATAAGACACTTCTCCAGTCAAATCAAAGTGGGAGGAGATGATAACCGAAATCGAAAGCTTTATTGGGCAGGCAAAAGGCAGGTTACAGCATGTTGAAAATAACTCATCCGGGGGTTGTAGGAATGCTGAAATAGCTTATTGAGTGGATGTTGCAGAAGAGAAGAGGAAGAACGAAGGCGGCGTGAAGAAGAGGAGCGTGAGCGTTTACAAAAAGAAGAAGAAAAACGTAGGCGAGAAGAAGAAGAAAGACTGAGAAGAGAAGAAGAAGAGAGGAGGAGAATAGAGGAGGAACGACTTCGGATGGAACAACAGAAGTGAGTAGCTGAAATAAACAGCTGTTGAAAGACAACAACTGCCTTGCACTTGAGACATTTATATCTATCTGTTTAAATAGTTATGCTAGAATTGCATACCTGGCGTTCAGAGTCTGGGAGTGACACTTGCGTCCTTAGTTAAAAGGGACACAGTTTACAGAGAATAATTATCCTGATGTGTTCTTGTATGCAGCCTTCTCAGAAAGTGCCCGAAAAGCTTTGCTTAAAGAGAAGCTATGGAGGTTTTTGGGTTCAAGGGCTGTACCTCATGAAAACTTGTGGCTCTGCTGCTTAAATTAGTAGTGCTGCACTCAACTGAGCAGAGTTAAGTGTCCAGGTAGAAGTGGTGTTTGAACTGTGACTTGAAAGTTTCTATCCTTTCACAGAAGGCATAGCCTTGAAAAAGAACTGCAGCTCATTGGGTTCTTTTGAATGCATGGCTGAAATTTTCTAACTTGATAATCTAGCATTACCTCCTTAAAGGTGCTCCCTTTCTAGGAAGTGTGAAGTGTCTACAAATCTGATTTGTACACTGGCAATCACTGGATCTTAGCACCTTTCTAAAAGGTATACAGAATTCTTGTTCAAATGCACATAACCTCTGTTTCTAGGCTGAATTAAGTTGTTTACTTATACAGCTGTAGTTACGTTTCATTGTTCCCATCAGATCCAGATTCTGAAAGCATGGATCCAGCATTGCACAAGTAGGATGTAAGAGAATAGATCACCAAAGCTGTCCCACACCAGTCAGCAATCATTTTCCATAATATAGATGTCTTTGCAGATGATGTCTCTGAAGTAGATCCTGCTCTTGCTATGTAGTGGTTTTGAGAAGGGAGCAGATAGTTAATCCACCAGTTTTACAGTTTGTTCAGCACTGTGAGAGCCAGAGGAATGTGAAATACAGATATAAACAAACAGAGAATATGATAGAAAAATGTTGCACAGTGCTAAGTAACAAGAAGTGTCGTATGCCTTGAAGTTAAGAGATTACTTTTTTTACATAAATAGCAGTTGCATATTCAGTGGTTGTAACAGGCTACAGAGATAAAGCGTTTAGATAGAAAAGGAATATGTATACATACATACTGACCAAGTGTATCTAAAGTGGTCACAGTTTTGCTGAAATAGTAGGTCTTGCCCTTCAGGATACAAACCAGTCTAGTACTGGAGCTTTTAAAGGATGATTTTGGGAGAAGAAAAAAAGGCAGGAAGCAAAGAATCACTCCTGCATTTGGGTGATGATTCTTTCTTCCTCTCAAGCATTGATAGCTGGTCACTGATGGACATAATGTGAGACAAAACTCTGGATCTAGTTAGTTTTTTATTATATAGCTTCTGTTGGCCCTCTGGAGAGAGGAGGAAAACTGAGCCTGTGCATAAGTAACCCCATGTTCCTCTTGAAGTTTCAGCAGTTGAGTTTATTGGAGACATAGATGCCCTATTTGGAGCATTTTATTCTGTTCCTGAATTAGGCCCCAGTCAGTCATGCTTTTCATATTTGTTGCATACCATCTGGGGAAATTAAGATAGTAATGTGGTGTGTTTTTCTTAGATTTACCAAAAAGCACTGGCATGCTGTATGGCAGCAGGTCTGTTCTTATCAATATTTGTAGAAGGGCTGCTGGAAGGATGCTTTCTGCATATTTTCTGAAGGAACCAAATGTGGGTTTTTTTCCCTTGCTTGTTTGAGAAATTTAGTCGCACATTTTTTCTAGCACTATCTCTTTATCAGACAACAGATTGAGAATTATCTACGAATTCTTGTGTCTTTTTAACATTTGATGTTTTCAAACATCGGGTAGAAATTGTTGTTTCCTTCTTTATATTCTCAGCATATTTTTAAGGTAAAATTCACATTTGCATTACCTCTTGGTTCTGCTCTATTATGTAGATTTGTTTTAATTGTTTTTTGCAGGAATTGAATTCACTGTCTTTGAGGCCACTTTAAGTCACTTAAGTACAGGGTTTTCCCCAATACCCTCAGCTGCTTATAATCTTCATACTCTCCTCCCACCAATCTAGGCAACAGATAATGGCAGCACTGAACTCCCAGACTGCCATTCAGTTCCAGCAGTATGCAGCCCAGCAGTATCCGGGCAATTATGAACAGCAGCAGATCCTAATTCGGCAGCTCCAGGAACAGCATTATCAACAATACATGCAGCAGTTGTATCAAGTCCAGCTTGCACAGCAACAGGTATGGCCGACCAGCTGAGAAACTTAGATTTTGTGCCTCAGACTGTCTCTGGGAGATGTTGACTTGTTTGCTGTTATCTCCTTGAAAATGTAATTGCTACAAGGAGAGATAATGTCCTAGTGACTAATGCTACTTTGGATTCAAATGCCAAAGCCCCTTTATTTTCAAGTAGTTTTCTGAAGCAGCTGCTAGTTAAGAAAATTCTAAGCAGCCTTTACTAATTACTCTCCTTGGAGACCAAAAGTGAAGCACTCTGCTGCAGCATCTCTTGTGTGTGTCATTTACTGGGGTACATACCAGTGCATCTGAGCACAAACAAAACTCTTCAAGTGACTCTCCAGGTAGGTATCACACCTGAAGATCTGTGCAGAGCCGCAGGCTTTGGTCAGCCCTGTGTTTCCAGCTGAACATGCATGCATGCAGCACTGTCACATCACTACTGGGTTTGAGATTGCTCCTCCCTGTCAACTTGAGCACTACTGGCTTCTCTCTGCTTTTGCATCTGTTGTCTGACATCAGTATCTAATTAAGCTGTTTGCCTGCAATAGACTGCTTGTGATTTGGGTGGGAGGACAGACTTTTGTGTTTCTGGTAGCAATGGGTGGCAGCAGTACATTTCTTTTTTGGAAGGGTTTTGTGCTTGGGCTTGAAAGGCTGCTTCTCTGTTTAGGGGAATCTTGCATCTTGGGCAAATGTGCTGTATTCACATCGCAAGCTATTTTAAAGTCCAAGGATGTCCATCTGTTAACTGCCTTAAACAGATGTAAGCCAGACTCCAGACTCTAGTACATCTGACCTCCTGGGCAGGACCTGAATATTAAGTGACCTGTAACTGTCAGCCTAAGGTCTAGTCTTCTTGACCTAAAGACTTAAAATTCAGTAACTAATTTCCTGTTAAGTCACCTGTATGTTGGTGAGGCTGATGCCCTCAGCAAAGAACTGTCCAAGGAAGGAAGCCATGTGGCCCATGTAAACCACATGAAGCTCAACAAGGCCAAGTGCGAGGTCCTGCACCTTGGTTGAGGCAGTCCCTAATATGAGTACAGATTAGGGGATGCATGGATTGAGAGCAGCCCCGCATAGCGGGACTTGGGAATACTGTGGATGAAAAACTGGATATGAGCTGGCAATGGGCTTTTACAGTGCAGAAAGCCAGCTGTACCCTGGGCTGCATCAAAAGAAGTGTGACCAGCAGGTTAAGGAAGGGAGGTGGTTTTCCCCCTCTACTCAGCTCTCATGAGACCCACCCGGAGTCCTGTATCCAGCTCTGGGGTCCCCAGAACAAGAAGGACATGGACCTGTTGGAGTGAGTCCAGAGGAGGCCACAAAATTATCAGAGGGCTGGACCACCTTCCGTATGAGGACAGGCTGAGAGAGCTGGGGTTGTTCATCCTGAAGAAGAAAAGGCTTCAGGGAGACCTTATTGCAACCTTTCAATACTTAAAGGGAGCTTCTATGGAAGATGGAGAAAGACCTTTTTACCAGGGCCTGTAGGACAAGGGACAGTGGTTTTAATCTGAGAGTGTAGGTTTGGATTGGACATAAAGAAGAGATTTATTTACAATGAGGGTGGTCAAACACTGGATCAGGTTGCCCAGAGTAGTTGTGGATGCCCCATCACTGGAAGTGTTCAAGATCAAGTTGAATGGAGCTTTGAGTGGCCTGATTTACTGAAAGATGTTCCTGCCCATGGCAGGCAGGTTGGACTAGATGGTCTTTGAAGGTCCCTTCCAAGCCAAACCATGATTTAATGGGAGTTGAAGTGGTACAGGAAAGTCAGAGGCTTCCTGCCCTGTTATAGTTACTCTTGAAGCTCAATGACACCTTGGTATCAGTGCTTTGGTGTCATAGTGGTAAGCAAAAGCTTATAACCTCATCAGTCTTGCCCTTGATGCCTTCTGTAATTGATACTACTCCCTTGAGACTGAGGTGTCAGAGATGCTGCTGCCAATTTTCTTCAGTGCTGTCAACACTGCTCCTTTCAATCATGGCTGTCTGCTTTCTATGTACAGAAGACTAATGTCCTCCAAGACCTGGGCAAAACAGCCTTTCCTTTAGAGCAGCTTACAAAATAAGTCTACCAGGCAATGAAGCTTATTTTTCAAGTCTCTACTTGGACAACTCTTGTAGAGGAAAGGATGAAAAAGCAGCATGTAACAGAGCTAAAATTATCTAATTCTGCTTTGGACTTTCCTGAAGACTCAGGTAGCCTCCATAACACTTCTGAGAAATACTTTCCTTTTGGATGCTTGTAACTGAACCGCCTTTGGGATCTGTTAGTGCAGTTAAAAAATGCTGTTCTGTCGTGATTGCTTACAGGTGAGCTTGTGATACAATTAATTTTGGAAAGGCTGTGTGCAGTAGCTTTCTAGAAGAGTTCTCACCACTTTATGTTGTCTCAGTGCATAGAACTGCTGTAGTAGAAAGCAGATCTGGGCAACATCTGTAAAGTTGCTCAGATTTGAAATCTAACTAATGTTTGACTACATTGTCTTTATACTCCTTCAAGATACCTATATTCATCAAAATCATGTGCTTATTATGTTATTTAAAGAATGGTACTGTCAATTATACCTTTTCCCTGTCCCAACAAAAAAGCGTGCATAATCTCTCTGTACTGATAACTAGGGACAGTGGAATAATCCTTGAAGCTAAAGGGGTACTGCATCCTGCTTGAATCCAAAAGGATGGTTGTGTTGTTGTTACCTTGTATAATCTCATTTTAGGTGTATTTAATCCTTTGCACAGCGACAGCATGATAAATTCTATCTAAAGAGTTTTGATGTACTTAAGTCACATGTTCTAAAAGCAGTGCTTCTGAGCTTTAACTCTTCTCCCAGACCACTCACAGTCCTTGTGGCTCTTACGCTTCCTGCTTTCGTATTAAATAACTGCTTTTGTCAGGCATTGTGGAATTGATAGAGAACCCTGTTGAGCAAATTAACTCACAAATTGGCAAGTACTTAATAGACCTTAAATACTTCCAGCTCTTTTTATACCTGGAGGAGCTCTGGATGGGCTAGAACTCTTTCAGCCCACTGGTAAAAACCAGCAAACAAATCATCACTTTCAATTTTGAAAGTAATGTTATAGGAATTACTGAAATGCAGAACTTCTGTAGTTAAGTGCAAGAGTTTTTTGTGTGCCTTAATCAACTTGAAAGTCGAATCTTTTTGCTCAGATTGTATCCATCAACCTAGAACAAAGTGACTTCACTTCCCCTGCTGCTCAGTACATGCAATTCTCACAGGTTAATATGTGTTGCTTCTGGTGTCTTGTGTCAAGCCTCCTTGGCACAAACTTCCATGGGGCACAGGGGGAGATATTTTCTTTAAAGTGTCTTTATACCGTCTGCTGGAAGAGGGAGACATCTTGGGAAGTTTTGGTTTTACTTGACTTAGTTTCTGTCATTTTAGGCAGCCTTACAGAAACAGCAAGAGGCGGTTGTGGCAGCGACAGGGACACCTCTGACTACTGCATCGAAGGGAAATGCACCTGCCCCGGGGGACACCCCATCTGTCAATGGGCAGGCCAGTGCACATGCAGACAGCCCTGAAAAAGAGCTGGATCCAGAGGCTTTGGAAGAAGCACTGGAGAATGGACCAAAAGGTAGGACTAGCATGATTCCTTAATTAAAAATAAATAACAAAGGCCTTTCTTAGGATTCTGATATCTTAAGTATGATAACTGTGCCTCTTTGCTTGGCTTCATTGGGCTATGCAAGAGTGAGATTTGATTCCCGGGTCCAGTTTCTCTTAAGGAAGAAGAGTATTGCACAGGCAAAACTCAGCTTTGGGGGAGGTGAAGAGGAAGTAGCAAAAGCATTTCAGGCAAAGCGGATGGGATCCAGAACCTCCTTTCACTCTTGACTTGAAGGAAAGGAACATAAAAGGCTTAGCAGAAAGCTGTTCTGTGCAGAAGTATGTTCAATCTTATTTGAACTCGGGTCAAAACTGAGTGATTTAGCCTTGCACGTTTAAATAAAGCCACATCCTTCCTGCTCTCTCTGAGTGCTGCCCTGCCTGTGGCTTAGCCCTGTCCTATGTGCAGTCTGGACTGCTGTCCCCTCACATTTCCTGCATTCCTGAGACAGCTTCTAGGAAGCTGTGGAAATGGAGCCAGAAAAGTAGCCTCCCAGCAGTATGCTCGTCACTGCTATTTCTGTGTGTTACCTCTATACTTTCGTCCCCAATCTGTAGTCCTCAAAAGACTTGCTTGGATCCCAGTGTAGAACCAACACTAGCATGGTCCCTGTCTGCATAACGAGATGTTCGGTTATTCTAGTCAGTATTTCACAATTTCTAGACAAATCCACCACCTCTGCTTCTGCCACATTAAAGACCCTTTCAGTGAAGGATTCTGTGCAATGTCACCTGTAGCAGTGCATCTGCCTGAGTCTTCCCCACATAAGCGCTGTTGGTTTAAATGTGGTGGATGGGTGAACCGGCAGGATTTAAGTGTACGGTGTTATACCTAAACTTGCACTGCATGTCATGCAGGTGTCAACTGTGAAAAGAGATGTTTCTTCAGTTAAAAAAAAAAATTACTTGCAAGCAACTCTGATGCTTGTGGTCCTCAAGTGCCCCTACAGCACACTTAATTAAGCAGCAACAATAACTGAAACAAAGCTTAACTGCTGTATTTCCTCCCTTCTCTCCAGATTCTGTTCCGGTGATAGCTGCCCCATCAATGTGGACACGACCCCAGATAAGAGACTTCAAGGAAAAAATCCGGCAGGATGCAGACTCTGTGATCACAGTGGGCCGAGGAGAAGTGGTTACAGTTAGAGTACCAACTCATGAAGAGGGGTCTTACCTCTTTTGGGAGTTTGCTACAGACAATTATGACATTGGTTTTGGGGTGTATTTTGAATGGACAGACTCCCCTAATACTGCAGTCAGTGTGCATGTCAGCGAATCCAGTGATGATGAGGATGAAGAAGAAGGTAAGCATGCTGATTTATACAAACTGCCGGTCCTGCAGAGCTTGCCATGGGTGAAGATCTAACTGATTGTCTTGTGTAATCTCCTAGCTCCCCCAGCTTCCATCTAGCTGGAATCTTGACTCCAATTATGAATAAGAAGTGCAGTTCTGAAAGTAACTTCAGTCACCTCGTTTGGTCACAGATGGGTTAGAGCAGTTGAGGGTGGAGAAATCCTTTTCCTAAGTTTCACTTACTCCTTAGTGTGCCCTCCTCTCCAATTCAGCTATTCAGTAAGCAAATTGAAACTGGTTCCATAGTAGAGCATAGTGGATCTGCACACTGAAAACCTGAAGAAAAATCCTGCCCTGCTGTTCATGAACTTTTTCTAGGGAGGAAGTTTTCCTTGAGGCTTCAGCAAAACAGCTTAAAAGAGCACTTCCCAATAGTGGCCAGGTCACCAGCATTTACCTGCAGGGGTGTCTACCATACCATCAGAGAAAAATGTTCTGAAATGAGCATGTGATTTGCTTAGTAGGGACTGCTCCGACACAGGGAGCAGTGGCCTTCTGGGTATTACTACTAAGTAATCAGTCGTAGTAAGCATGTCAGATCAGTAGCAGTCAATGTGGGGTAATGTCTTAATGAAAACTAGAGGTTGGCATCTCTACAAACTGACCCAGCTGTGCTGGAGAGATGGTGAGTTTTAATATCAAACTGTAAAATTCATGATAAAGTGAGTATGGTTACTGTTCCTCCTGCTTTTGAATGCTTTAGCCACAGCCTTGGTATGAACTCCTTCAACCCATCTGATTTCTAACAAAGAGTGCCTTGTCCACTGCGGATCAGTCTGATTTTCTCTTATAAAGCATCCACCCGTGTTAACTGACACCTTTTTTTTTTTTTCCTTGCAGAAAACACTAGCAGTGAAGAAAAAGCCAAAAAGAATGCCAACAAGCCTCAGCTAGATGAAATAGTGCCTGTGTACAGACGAGACTGTCACGAAGAAGTGTATGCTGGCAGCCACCAGTACCCAGGGAGAGGAGTTTATCTTCTTAAATTTGACAACTCCTATTCCCTATGGAGGTCAAAAACAGTTTACTACAGAGTTTATTATACTAGATAAAGGTGTGGCTGTGTCTGAGGCTGGGCTGTGCAGAAGATGTCATTTTATTTGGAATTTTCTTCAAGCATAATGGATCCTTTTGAGTCTGTGTTTTATCCTGTCTGTATCGGTATGGTTTCTGTGAACTTTAACAAGTAGACACTGGGATCTTCCTGCTCCATGACACTAATGCATATTGCATTGGGCTTAACACAGGATCTCCCTAGCCCGTTTTGGGTACTGGAGTTAACTGATGGAAGTCATTGGCTCCAGTGCTAAGGTCACATCAGTTGCATTTGTTAAAGCCTCATGAAAAAGGGGGAGGGAGTTGCTGGCTCACTGGCTAGGTGATCTGGTGTTTCCAGGTCTGGATGCTTTGAATAACTTGTTAACAGTTAATTTAAAGGTCCCATCAATAACTGGTAGATTTGGATGCAGTTTGCTGTGTAGCAAGTTTCTCTTAACTGTAATTGAATGTCAGATTTTTACACCATTAAAACTTGAATCTTCTAAGTTGATGCAGTTTAGAAACAAGTTGTCTCGCTTCTGTCCTCATTGAAGAAGAAACATTCAGCTCCTTAAACCAGTGTAGTGGCTAAGGCAAGGATGAACAGCATCCTGAAAGTACAGCAAATGACCTCTTCTGAAGATGTCAACTGAATGACGATTAAAAGTATATGTAACAACAAGAACGTTAATCTCTCTGCCCCGCTGCTAACCCTAGAATAAAAACTCATTTTTGGATGCAACTGACTTTGAACCAGGGCACAAACTATTTCTAAGTTTGGTGGGTTTTTAATGGGGTAGACTTTAAAAATATATATACGTACAAACCTGAAAGTAGTTTTCTGCACAATGATCTGGCTTGTGTGTTTTTGTAAAACCTGAATAAGCACGTTGTGCTTCTGAAGATCAGTAAGTCACTTTGATAACGTATAGGAGTTAATGTTGCACTAATTATGGAACTCACTGCCAGTTCATTTTAGTCTGAGCTGGTGATACTTGGGTGCGAATTTTCTGCTTTAATCTGTAGCTGTCTGCAGAAAGCCAGAGTGCACATACAGATACTTAATAACGTAGCTTTAATCTCAATTTCATATGGTTTCATTGGGGCATTTCATATTTTGTGTAGTAGAAAAATGCAGGTGGCTACTTGACTTGAGGTGCAGTAAGAATCTTCTCTCCTTGGAGCCCTGCACCCCAGGAGCGATGTGTTGCAATGACGACTTGTGTAAGTGCTCTCTGCGTGGGTATTGCACCTTGTTAAAATAAAATGGTTACTTTGGGTCTGTCAGGTCAGTTCTTGCAGTGAGACTTCCATTGATTAGCTGCAGCACGTACAGTTCCACAGCAAATGATGTTGAGTTTGTGGGATTTGTTGGAATAATCAGTTTGTACATACATGATACTTTACTTTTCTCATACCAACCATGGAGATAATTCTCTTAAGAGTGCTTGTCATCTTGTGTTTGGTTCAGCAACACCGTACCAGCTTATAGCTAGTTAGTGCTGCTTTATCCAAAAACACTGTACAATGTTCTGCTCTTGTGTACATACAGTATATAAACCATGAATTTAGAAAGTACCTTGCTTTTAAAGAAAACTGTATTTAATGTAAAAAAAAAAAACTTTTAAAAAGGCAGGCACTAATATATTTCTTCCGGTCTTCAATTTAATTTTTTTTGTCCAAACAAAAATGTTATGACTTTTTCCTCTAAGAATATCTGTTCTTGGGAGCAGTGTTTGTCGCTTTAAATGGCAGCACTTACTGTCATGTGTTGGATGGTAGAACTTTTACGTTTTCAGACTTTTTTTATTGCCTCTGGCCGTTGATTAGTACAGTACAAGTGCGATTTCAAAATACCTTGAGATAGTATTTAATCTGAATTAAAATACATTTATCTGTAATGCTGTTGGCTTTTTATTAATTTGGAAACCTTGGCATTGCTGTCTATGGCTATTCAGCTAAGATAAATTTGTCACCTTCCTTTCTGTTTTTAAAAATTCAGTACCGTGCTAACGCTGTGGTCTCAGCAGCCAAATCACTTGAGCCAAAGGCTCTGCACGAGAAGTGTCACGAACTCGCTGGATGAGGCCATCTGTCAGTGTTAGAAGAGCCCAGTGTGAACAGCACAATTGCTTTGGTTTTTGAAAGGGTAGCAGAAAGGGTTGGATGTGGGCAGCTAAAACCTGTGAGCTATTTTCTGCCTAGGAGAAAAGTGCCTGCCTTTCCCCCTGCAGCTTCATGAGCCAGCCCCAGGGGCGGTGGGGGCTGGCTGCCTTGTCCTGAAGAGCCCTTGGCCAAAAGGGTGAGAGACGGGCACGACTGTGCATGGTTTAGGCTGAACAAGAAGAAAAGCAAGAACCTAGAGGCGAAAAGGCAAGCTATGTTAAGGTTTCTCTTGGCCAAAATCACCTTTTGCTGCTGACCTGCTATTAGTAAGTAGCTTATCCTGGGGCTGAGGCCAGAAGCAGGTTTTGCACTGGTTTGATCCGTGTGCAGGTCTGTCTGCCCCCATAGTCAGCACCCTCACACTGGTGCTTCCAGATCTCATCGGGGGAGCAGAATTCTCTCTCATGAGAACAAAATGAGTGCTGTGCTGTTAAAAGCAAGATGCTGAGAGGTTCAGTGTACCATGTAGTGTGGGTATGCTACACACTAGTTTCACATGAGAGAGCAAGTGCATTGAAAACCAAATAATTACAGCAGCATGCCTCCCCCAACTGGACCTATTTTACCCGTCTCATACATGTATAAATTCCCCTCTCTCCTATTAAAAGTGAAGCACTGTACTCCTTGCACCTCTCTTCCACAAGAGAGTTATTGTAAACACCTTCTGAACTGACTCACTGGCAATAGCTCCAGCTGATGCAACACAAATAGGTTGACAAAGCTCCTATTCCAAATACAGCGCTCCTTTCAGAAGCTGAATAATCTGCGGGACAAACTGTTGGTAGAAATGGCATCTTCAGAAGCACCATCAACATGGATCTTGCTTGTGTTGCTGCTGCTTCTTGGAGGCAGTTGCATGGGGGACACCAAGGCCAGGTCTGCCTCGGCTCTGCTCTCCCAGAAGGATAAGCAGTGCCATTGGAACAAGTTGCTAATTCAGCCACCCAGCTGCTCTATGGTATTCTCCTTGCCTATCCTCCTTGCTATTTTTCCCCACCCTTTGGCTTTTAGCAGTTTCTGCCTTGTTCTTTGCTTTGTAAGTCACAGATCATCTGCTCTGTGATTTAGAGCAGCTGAATGCAGCCTCTGAGGTACCTGTAATGGGCAGGGTCAGGAAATCAGTCGTCTGCTCTCAGAGGTTTAAGGGATAGCTTAGCCATTTAACCTCCCCCTCTGTATGCTCTAGGAATTGTAAGAGGGCTGCATAGACCTGTTGGAGTACAAAGCAGCAGCATAGCCATCCTTCATCCAAGTGCTAGCCACTTCTCCAAACTGAGTAACCATTCGGGGCTGTAGTTAGCCTTATGAACCTAAAACAGAGCTGGGAAGGCTCCTCTGTCAGCTTGGTGTTGTCGTCTTTTGAACACCAGGTCTTGCTGTCCCTGTTCTCTCTCCATCCCCTGGTACATTTGCAGTGAAAAGTCTGAAGGGAAGCTAGAAGAAGCCAGCTCATGACCTCTACTCCCTCCCAGCCTGTTTGTCTCCTGTTCCTGGCCTCTGGGTTCAAGTCCAGTAAGTCCTGCCTTTCCTTCAGCCCCTCTGCCATGTTTGGCTGCCGCATCCGCACACCACGGGGACTGGGCCAGCGCCTTCCATGCATGTGGCGCTGCGCAAAGGTGCCAGCTAGGGCAAGAGCCCAGTGGAAATGCACGTACCGCCGGCATTCATGGAAGTCACAGTTTCTGTCTTGCCAGCTGCTCTTCCCAGCTATTTCTGCTCTGATCCCCCAGTTCCACCTACCCTACAAAGCACGGTTCAGATTAATCAGCCCAGCTCCCACTGTTGGTTCATTTGCAGACCAAGCTCAGTGGCAGGAGCTTTCAGCTTCTGTCTGTGCTTTCACTCCTGCTCGCTGCATGGGGAGACAGCGTACAAAAGGGAACACTTTTGGAATTGGGTCTCTGCTTCACTGTGCTGCTGGGAAGGGTTGCGGAGATGTGCAAGTCCCTGCGGTAGCGTTGGTCCCGTGCTCTATGGCAGTGTCTTGCTGGTGTTGGGCTCAGGTGTGCCAGCGGCGTTTGCACTGACAGACGGTTTGATCAGGCAGGTTACAAATGGGAGCTATGTGCTTTTGGGTCCATTGCTTAAAAAATAAAACCTCACACCACAGCTACATCCAGCACCATGTACTGGAAGAGTAAGCAAAGCATGAAATGGGATCCCAAGTCTTTCTCCAAATACCGCACAGCTGAGACACGCAGAGGTTTCTCATTGAAATAATGTCAGCTTGCCTTAGAGAAGTATATTAAACCTTTTGTATTAGTATTGATGTAGATGCTACGATGCAATATAGATATTGCATGTGCAAAGTTACTGTTCAGTATCCTAAAAGTACAAAACTTGAAATGAATGAAGAAGAAAAAAAAGGTGACACTTCTTCTCTATAGCAAGTTCTCCTCCTGGCCTCTGCTGTTTTCATCTTGTACCATCTCCATCATGAAGCTGGTGAGAAACCTGCTCCTTTTAGTCAGGGGGTTCAACACCAGCATGCCTAGCCAGGGCTCAGATGTGGGTAAATAATCCCTTATTTCAGCCTACGCTTCGCCTCTTGAGTTTAGCTTTTTTCTCACTGTGGACTATAGGTTTCAGACCTTTTTGTTTTAAGGAAGCAGTGACAGTCAGTGGTGTCCCCCAGCCTGGTGCTGATCTGGTGAAACCCTCCATGGGCCCGTTTGGCTGCAGCTGCTCCTGGAACCGGCTCAGCCCCGACCTTCAACCCCTTCCTGCACCCCACAAGCTGCCAGCTGTGACCTGGGCTTATGTTCTAGACCCACCTGGGCAGACCTCATGCACCATCTTGCTAGGGAAAAGTAACTCCCCAAATTGCCACAAACTAAAATGAAAATTAGCGCAAACTCTGCTCCTTATTGCGTATTGCAGCATCACATTGGGAAGAGCCCTGACTCGTGCCCCTTTCTGCCAGCCCAGCCGTGGGGCTGAGGCTGTGCACACCATGGAAGAAAAGGGGTTTCCAGGCTCCTGTAAGCCACATAAGGACTTTCTGGCCTTTGCAGTGCAGCCAGAGTTTGCATTGGAGGGCTTCAAGTCACTTTCTCAGGCTCTTATCTTCAACACGTGCTGTAAAACACCAGGGAGTTATTTGCAGCCTGCGTCGGGGTAGTCGAACAAGACTGCAGAGCCAGTGCAGAGCAACTAGCAGAGCTTTACACGATGCTTGTAAAATTTGTTTCTGGTTTGGAGAGAACAGAGGTGTTGTGTTTTTTTCCTGTTTAAAAAACAGATCTCATTAAGCCTTGGTTTGCTTTATACACTCAGGGCAGTGACTTCAGCACTGGTCTGCTGATGGGAAGAGTAAGGTGGGAAAGGTTTGGGTGCCAATTTC